CCGGCGCGCGGGGCGCAACACGGCCAAGCGACACACACCAGCACCAGGGACCACCAGCGGGAGGAGCCAGGGGAGGATCCCCTGCCGGTGTGGTCCCCCCTCTCGCTCGAAACGTCCCCAACCCCTCAGCTCGGGGAGGCGTCGTGGACCTGCTCGTTGAAGGTGACCCCCCCCGCAAGGTGGACCTGTCGCTCCTCCTCCCCCGGGCATGGATCCGTCGCGTGGGCGCCAGACCCGCGGATCGGGAAGGCACCCCCGAAGCATGACGCCAATACCAGACTGCTGTGGCGACAGGTCGCGCTGATCCTGGAGGGAACCGGGACCCGTCGACCAGGGGGGGGGGCCCAGGGAGAAGGCGCCCGTTTGGTCCCCCTCGCCGCGAGGAGAGTTCCAGCCGCACTGCAAGGGCTTGCCCGCCTCTGCTGCCGACGGGGGCCAGCCCGGGAGCGCGGCCGGCGCGGCCGCCTCGGGGAGGACAAAGCTGCGCACTGAAGCGCACTGACTGCTTGGGGGCCCGCGAGAGCTTCCCTGGGCTGGCACTGGACCTCACGAGCGGCGCACATGTTCGTATCCGCGCCCTCGCGGACTGGATTCCAGGGCGCGGTCCCGCGGATGGCGCGGTCGCAAGGGGAGGCGCTCCGCGCGGGGCATCCGCGCAAGCGCGCCCCCCGTCCGCGGTGGCCGCGGCCCCAGGGCCTGGCCCTCAAGGCGGAGCACACGGAGGTGCGCGTCCCCCACGACTCCCCTGGCCCGCGGAGCTCGCCCGGGGCGGGGCGGCGGCGGAGGCGCCGCCACGAGGTGGGCCCAGCCGACCAGAGAGGTCCACGCGGGCCTCCGAGCGTGCATGCTAATGCAAGTTCTGTCTTCCGAGCCTCACTCGCCGCCCGGCAAGGAGCGGATGATGTCGGAGTCGCCCGGGTCGGTGATCGACAGGCAGCTGACGCGGTAGTACCTTCCGCACGCCGTGCCGAGCTCGTTGTTGTCGCCGTGGAAGTGGTGCACCCCGGTCTTGGCCAACATGGCGTAATACTCGATCTCGCTCTTGCGCAGGGCCGGACAGTTGCTGCTGATCAGGATGAGCTTCGCCTTGCCCTGCCGAAGAGTCTTAAGAGTGGTCTTGTAGCCGAGGCTGTACTTACCGCTCTTCATCACCAGCTGGATGCGGCTGTTGATGGAGTCCGCGGCTTTGGACGCCCTGGACGCCTTCTTGGCGGCGGACATCGCGGAGGGTGATGTGATCAGATGCTCTTGTGTCGGCGGAGGACGATGGGCGCACACTTCGCGCTGGCTTCCCGTTGATCCAGAATGGCTACAGAGGCATGCAGAGGCTACGTCACAAGATCGGCACCGGCAGCACCAGGAGGAAAGGAGATCCAGAGAGGGGAGGAGGGAAGGGGAGGACAGCATCGGAGCAAATGGTACGCGCACGTCCAAGCGAAGGGATGATCATCCATCCAGCAAGAAATTAGCAACCCTGAGCTGGAGACATTCGTAGGGGCAGCTGGCAAAATCGACCTGCTAAGATGGCGACCTGCTTAGATTCCGTGAAGGATCCAAATCCCTCGCCTAGGGCCTAGATACGGCAACATTTAGCACTCCTAGCCCCTGCGCTGAAATCCGACTGCGTAAAGACCATCTGCGCACGGTGGCACAGAAGGAACTCAACGGCAAAGCCCGCACGCCCATTTTGTGGCATCAGCGGGGCGAAGTTGCAGCCTTCGCCGGTCAGTGGGGTGCGCAAGGCGCGGCAGGCAGCCCAGGTGGCGCCCAATGCACACAGAAGGGCGAGGGGAGGCGAGGGCGAGAAGCAGCGGGGACGAAAAGGGCAGGCGCGCGCATGGGCTACCACGGGGAAACAGTGAAGATGGCGACACCGCTGCTCCCCAGGCATCTCTGGTGTCGCGCTCGACGACCAGGAGCCCGAGGCGAGGCCGGTCCGTGGCGAAGAGGGCCCCCCAGGAGGCGCAGCGAGGCGAAGGCGAGGAATGGGCATCGGCACCGGCACATGCTCCTCCTCCGACCCCAGCGGCGCAGGGGGGGGGGGGGCCAAGCCCGCACGGCAGGCGCCATCGCCAGGAGGTGGGAAGCATTGTCTTCCAGACAGTCGCAGCACAGTGAGCGCCTGGGGGGAAGGGGGGGGGGCTGCTTTTGGAGACAAGAACCGAACATCCGATATTTATTTGTCCCAACCATCTCGTCTTGAAGAGACAGCGCCCCGCATTTCCTCCCTCCCTCTCCTCCTCCTCCTCCCCCTTCTCCCTCCTCCCCTGCGTGCCTCTGCTCTCCGCATGTCGCCCACTTCGGCACACCCACCCCACACGATTCGTGGCCCCATAGGGAGCTCCTCCGAAGACCCCAATGGCGACGTTCGCAGCGTCCGCCCTGCCCAGGACAGCGCTCCGTGGCCCCGTACGGAGCTGCACCGAAAACCCCAATGGCGATGTTCGCATGCGTCCGCCCCGCCCAGTGCAGCATTTCGTGTCCCCACAGGGAGCTCCACCGAAGGCCCCAGTGGCGACTTTTGCATACGTCCGCCCCACCCAGTACAGCGTTCGTGCCCAGACACACCGAAGGCTCCAGTGGCGACGTTCGCATGCGTCCCCCCCACCCATTTCGGCACACCCCTCACGCGGTTCGTAGCCCCATACGGAGCTCAACCGAACGCCCTGGTGGCGACGTTCGCATGCGCCCCCCGCCTGCATATGTCGGCAGACCTCTCAAACGATTCGCGGCTCCAGTGGGAGCTCCACCGAAGGCCCCATGAGCAGTGCCCGCATTGCGGCCCCGCCCCATGTCTGCGCACCCTTTACACGCTTCGTGGCCCCACAAGATCCACCGAAGGCGATACCGACAACGGAGAAACTCCCAACTGCACATGGTAAGGTCCTTCTCTATGATATTCAACACGGGATCCCTCCACTCATTCGCTGAGGCCTGTTTTCATCCCGAATTGCTTTTTGGCGGCCCTGGGGCCTGGTGAGAGCTCCCAGAGGCCGAAAAAGGCCAACAACCCTCCGCCGTACTCTTTCGCAGCGCGAGCATGTCTGGGAAGCCCACTGGCGGACGCGGAGACGGGGCAACCGCAGCTGAGCACGCGGGTGGCACAGCGGGCTGTCCAGCGGTGGGGGGCAACGGTGCGGCCAGCACGGCAGGCTGTCAGCAGCCCCTGGCCTCGCGGCGCCACCGCAGCCTGCCCCGGGGAGGAGGGAGGGCGGGAGTGCAGGCACAGCTGACGCCCTCTGACAGAAGGCGGCCGCCGGCCTCCTGCGGCATGGGGCAGGAAACGGGTCCTGAGGGCAACGGGTTCCGGACCCTGGGGAGTTGCCCCGAGACCAGTTCTTCTTCCAGAGTCCTTTCACGACAGTCCCAGGGCCCGTGGAGGGCCCGTGGAGGCCCGCAAGCGGCGAAAACCCTCGGGACCCGCTTCTCTCAAGGACCCGCTTCCCCCATGGCGACCGCTGCGGGACAACGCCGGAGCCGCTGGCCCGCCGCCGGCGCCGCCGACGCCCTCGGAGGCAGAAGCCTCTCCGGGCAGGGCCGGGCGGGCAGCGGCGCAGGGCAGAGGCCGCAGGGGGGCCGGCGGGCGCCGCACGGCCGCGCGGGCGCGAGCCCGTGGCGGCGCCGGGGGGCGAGGTCGGTCGCTGCGCAGGCCGCGGGCCCGAAGGGGCGCGGGCGCAGGGGGCGCAGCGCACGGAGGGAGCTGCGCGGGGGCGGGCATCCGGGCCCGAGGCAGCCTCGAGCCGGGGGCTCAGATGATGGGCCAATGTTCCACCACAACTACCGTGGGTCCTCCTCCTCCTCCTCCTCCTCCTCCTCCTCCTCCTCCTCCTCTTCCTCCTCCTCCTCCTCCTCCTCTTCCTCCTCCTCCTCCTCCTCCTCCTCCTCCTCCTCCTCCTCCTCCTCCTCTTCCTCCTCCCTCTCCTACCTGTAGCAGCGGCGGTTGAACATCGGCCCATCCTCAGAGGTGGGGCCACATGTGGGGCCCCCAGGGATGGGGCCTCTGAGGGTAGAGAGGGGAGCCCAAGCGGAGCCTTCACTGCCTGAGGCCGCTCGTCCCCCAGGGCCCTAATTACCTAGCCCGTGGGAGGCACTGATCGATGCCCCCTGGCGTTCTCAAAGCAATTCATTCACCCCCGGAGGGCGGGACTGCTAAGCGACTTCGCTACCACGGCAAATGAATGAGGTCAATAATTCCGCGGGGGGGGCGGTGGGAGGAAGGGGAGCAAGGCAGCCCAAGAAGGGCCTCAAGACGGCTCTTCGGAGGCAAGAGCCCCCGCCGACAGTCCAAGTACTCTCCGACAGCCACCTTTACGGGGTTCATGTTGCAACCCTCTTGGGCTACGTATCAGTGGAATCCGAGTCGAGTCTTCTTGTAGTTCTACGCATTCAGATCTTAGAGGGATTCCCGCACTGAGGGGTCCAAGTGCGGGGCATCACTTCCAGGGGCAAGAAGCGGCATAGTTTCACGGCAAGGGGGGGGCGCGATAGTTGCCTCCCAAGGTTCTCCCTGGGGCCCTCGGGGCGACGGACGGGGCCCTGAGGGATAGAGAGAAGATCCCCAGGCTGAGCCTGCAGGGTGACCAATCGTCAACCGTCCCTCAGGGCCCTATCCCTCCGGGCGCCTTCTGGTAAACGCTGGCAGAGGGGGGCGGGGCGCGGCAGGCGTTGGGGGGCCCCAAACGGTGCGGTGACAGACCGTGCGGTGACCTCGAAATCCCTGGAGACCTCACCGCCAGGGCCGTCGCCGCATGGTTTCGAGGCTTGGAGGGAGGCCCCAGTCGCCCGAGATATCCTCGGACAACGACCCAGATCCCAAATCGGCGCGGTCAACCCGAATCCCCTCTGACTCACCGCGCGGCGTGGTCACCGTCTCGTTTGAGGGCCCCGAAGGCAGTGGCAGGCAGCTGCACAGCCCCCCCCGGGGAGGCCAGCGGCAGACGCCAGCAGAGCCTGGCGGCAAGGGGGGCCGCGCTCCCAAGTCGGGGCCCAGAGCCCAGGGGTCAGAGGTAGCGCGGCGGGGACACGGAGGTGTGGTGGAGGGCGGCGGATCTTTTTCCTGCCAGACTCGAGCACGCAAACTCCGCCGTGCGCTCTGCGCCCCAGGACTCGGCCTCCGCGCAGGCGAGCGCCCGAAGGGAGTGGAGGTCCATCCCGGCGGACAGCGAGTCCGCGTCGACCTCGCCGGCGGCGAGGAGGCGCTGCGCGCAGAGCTCCATGCACCGCCGGCCCTCTGCGCTGCCCAGCACCGCCCTCGCGCTCGCCAGCGCCTGCGACAGCAGCGCACACGCCGCCTTCTCTACCTCCCGGCGCGTGGCGTCGCTGCAGCCGGCGCGGCCCTCCAGGGCGGGCAGGCTGAGCACGAGGCCGCCGGGGCCGAGGCCCCACTCGGCGGCCATGGTCATGGCCTGCGCCGTCGCCTCGCGCAGGTCCGAGGCCGCCCCGGAGCTGACCTCCGTGGGCCGCTGCAGCAGCTCCTCGGCGGCGCGCCCGCCCAGGTCCACGCAGAGCGAGGCGCAGGCGCCCTGCATCGTGGAGAGCCCTGCGGGCAGCACCCCCTCCGCGTCCTCGGGCAGGGGCTCAAAGACCGTGACGCCGCCCACGCCGCCCAGTCGGGGCCGGACGGACGCGCGGACCACCCGCCTCCACGTCATCGCCGCGAAGGCCAGCCCGAGCACCACGTGGCCCGCCTCGTGGACGGCCGCGAGGCGGAAGGCCGCGCGGCTCTGCACCGGGCGCGCCTTCTCCAGGCCGAGCAAGAGGCGGTCGGCCGCGCGATCGACGTCGGACCTCTCTACGGCCTCGGCGCCCCTGCGGGCGGCCAGCAGAGCCGCCTCGTTGAGCAAGTTCCGGATCTCGGCGCCGCTGAAGCCGACGGTGCACTGAGCGAGGTCCCCGAGGTCCACGTCCGGAGCGAGGGGCTTACCGCGCGAGTGCAGCTCCAGGATCTCGGCGCGACCCGTGCTGTCTGAGCTTGGAGGCGGCCACGGGGTCTGAGCTGGATGGGCCCGAGAAAAAAGGTCAAGACGGGGGGACATGGCCAAATCCACTCAAAATCGGGCGGACCCCTCCCACGGTGCATTTGGTGCAGCTTGCACCCCAGATCCGTTTCTGCGGGGCCAGAAAAGGTTCCCCAGAGGCTGAAAACGGCCCATAGCATTCCACAACCCAGAACCTCGAACCTCGCCACCCTTCCTGCTCGCTGACCACCTCAAACCCCCAGCTGGCTCCAAGTCTGGGCGCTCCAGCACGACGCGGCGATCGAAGCGTCCGGGGCGCACCAGCGCTGGGTCCAGCAAGTGAGGGCGATTGGTGGCGCCCACCACGAGGGTGTCGCCCCTCTCGGTAAAGCCGTCCAGCTCGACCATGAGCTGCATCATAGTATTCTCACGGTCCTGCTCGGCCCCGCGCGCACCTGACTCGCGGCTGCGGCCGACGGCGTCGATCTCGTCGATGAAGAGCACGCAGGGCTGTAGCTTCCTCGCGAGGGCGAAGAGCTGCTTCACGAGCGTGGTGCCGTGGCCTGCGAACCTCGACGCCTGGAAGTCCGTGCCCGACGCCGACAGGAACGGCAGCCCAACCTCGCCTGCGAGAGCGCGGGCGCAAAGCGTCTTGCCCACGCCAGGCGGGCCTTGCAGCAACACGCCACGGGGGGGCGTGGCCCCCAGCCTAGCGTACCGATGCCGGGCGACCAGGGAATCCTTAATATCTCGCAGTTCCTGCACAACCTCGTCGTGCCCCCGCACGTCCTCGAATGTCGCCTCGACACGCTCCACCACGTGGAATGCGCCCTCCGCTCGCGCCTTCGCCTTGCGCCGCCGGACCTCTTGGAAGCTCGCCAGGACATCGTCATGCGTCACCTCCTCTCGGCCAGCACGCACGGTCAGCATCGCCGCGCCGTTGATCACGCCGCGCAGGTCGGCCGGGGAGAAGGCGGCCGCGTCCCTGGCCAGCTGGCCAAAGTCGAGGCCTCCGCCAGCCATTCGCAGCTGCCGCGCGTGCTCCGCCAGGATGTCCTCGCGGCCCGCGGCGTCCGGCAGCGCCAGCTGCAGGCGCTGCTCGAAGCGCCCCGTCCGCAGCAGCGCCTCGTCGAGGACCTCGGGCCGATTCGTCGCGGCAATGAAGAGCACGCCCAGGCTGTCGTCGACCCCGTCCATCTGCGCGAGGAGGGCGTTCAGCGTCGCGTCGTGGTCCTGCCTCGCGGAGCCGCCCCCCGCGTCCCCGGCGTCGTGCCCACGCCTGGCCTCCCCCAGGGAGTCCACCTCGTCGATGAGGACCACGCACGGCGCACGCTTCGCGGCCTCCCCGAAAAGGTTCAGCACGGTCGAAATTCGGCGGCGCGCCCGGGGAGGGGGGCGGAGGGGGCGGGCCTGCTCAGGAGGCTCGGAAGGCCTCCAGCCTGCTGGGAGGCTGTCTCGGCACGATCCGAACCGCCAAGGCCTCCTCAGAACACCAGGGGGCGTCTGAGAGGCCCCGACGCCCTTTGAGACGAGGGGCAACGAT